AGCTCTGTGATTTCTTAGGCTGGTCACTTAACTTCTCTGACCTTAAGATTTTCTGTCCAAAAGTGTGTAATCTCGGCTCTTCTTCACACTTATGATGAAAAATCCAAACACACTACTAATACAGAGGAATAGTTTTGTAGTGATGTCATATCTTGGGGTTGAAGAATAGTACAATGGGGAGAACTAGAGGAAAAAACCAAACTAAACCAAACCAAAAAATCTTTCTTTTTCCTTTCAAATTGTTCTGGTTTGCCTAGTGTCAGGATCATACACATTTTACAGAGAAAAGGGGAACTCATTAGTTTTGTTTCAAAACAGACAGGGACTGTTCCTGCATAGCAATCAGCAAAAGATGGAGAAGAGCAAGTTTCAGCTGAGGTTCCAGTTGCTTGTTGATATTCACAGTGTAAACAAAGCAGCTGAGTGGTTGAGTGAATCTTCCGTTCAGTCAAGATGCTTGGTTTTGTATGGACAAAATTGCAAGTTGGTGATGGAAAGGAAAAAATCCATATAGACAGAGAAACAGAATTATATGTATGTTTGAATGTAAATGTCTCTTTTTGTGTTCTCATAATTACTGGGAATCTTAGGCATCCTGTTATAACAGCAGGGGCAGCTGTAAAGACACTAGGGATGTAGCTGACAATAGGATAGTCTTCCATTCTATTGCAGATAATCAGAGGGAAGCCTTTTAAAATAGATTATTCTATGAAACTTTCCAAGTTGGTGTGTCTTTACTTAGTTCATCTTATTGTTTTTCAGACTGTGGTCTCTCCAGAAGGCATACATAAATCATTGTAATTACAGGAGGAGGAACCCGTGGACCCTTTCTTCTTTTCATGGTGTCTGAGAATAGGAAGACTGGATACCCCTCAGAATGTGATCCTGATGAGTTAGAAACCTCAGGCCCCGACCGAAGACTTGAATCAGTGCATCCAGATTCCAGAGTGGGATGGGATGCTGAGGGATTTAGACTCATTTTTCTCACCTTCAACTATACAGGGAGGGGAGGAGAGCCAAATGTTTGTCCAAGGGAGGAGGAAGTAAGTCTACTCAGTTCCTCTCACCTCTTCCTTCTCCTCCACTACTTCCTCAGCCTTGTGGGAACTTTGGAAATATGATTATTTATTTTAAAAATGAATCTAACCAGACAATAAGCAGTCGACCTTTTCCTTTGAGGTTTTCTATCTGCTTTGTATTTGTTATAAATATAAATCATATAACACACATATAGTAAGTTGAAATACAATATAATATTATCATAACTGTTTGTTAATCATTCAGTGTGTCCTTGTGTTTGTACTAGTCACCAAGAACCCAGAAATGCCTGGAAAAATAGTTCCTTGCTGTCTCCTTATCTCTCATTCACTCTTCAACCTCTTGCAATATGACTTCTACTCTTACAAGTTGATTGAAATTTCTCTTGCCAAGTCAATGACCTCTTTTTTTGAAAAATTCAACAGATAGTCAGTCCTTACCTTATTTGATTTCTCAGCAGCATTCTACAATGCTGACTAATACCTCCTTCTTGAAAAGCTTTTTCCCTGGCCTCCCTTTCCATTTTTCCCTGAGCTCCTTCGGTGCTGCTTTTCTACTAATTCTCTCTGGTGCCTCTTTCTTTGGCACTTAGCATGTTTCATCCTCTGCCAATCCGGAAAATATTTTTTCTTTAGGCTCCCTCCCCTTTCCTCTAGTCCATTCTTTTCTCCTCCCCTCCCTTCTCTTCTCCTTCTATATAACCTTCCTAAATAAACAGAGCCATTCCAATGGCTCTATGAGTCCTCAGCCTGTATCTATTATAGAGCTCCTTATATTTTGATTGTTCTTAAATGTATACTTTCATTTGAATCTTCACACCTGGACATCATCCCTTATATAAGATAACCCTTAGATATCTTGATTTTGTTATTATACAGGTACTTCTATTTTGGTATAATCAAGGATGCATCAATTTGCCATTTTGCTTTTTTCACTGAATGGTACTAATATCCAACCCACAGCAAATGTCAGAAATACGGGTGGCACGGTTGCCTCCTCTTCCTCTCACACTCCACACATTCAGTTCATCACCAAGTTCTAAGAAATTAACTCAGAAATATTTTAAAACATATTCACATCCTTCCTTTTCCCTATTAACACTCAAATCTGAGTCCTGCCATTTCTCCCAAGATTACTATGTACCTCCTCGTTTAAACATGAAATAATCGAGAGGACAAATGCAGCACATTTTTAGGAAAAATGTCCTAATGTTAACTAAACTGGTATAAACAAGGGTCCTTAGGATGGGACACAGCATTTCTTCACATTTTCTTATGATTATCTTTCAGTTCACTTCAGTTGACTTTAAATGGAAATTTGAGAATCTCTTCCATTTCTGATGTCCTCCTCCAACCATTCTTTTGGCTCTTCTGCACCTGCCCTCATGTGCCTTAAAAATCCTGTGAGGTTCTCACAGTGCCTCCCACTTCCATCCTGTCTGAGTGGCTGTAGATCCTTAACTGTGTCATACTGTTGTCAGGCAGCCATGTCTGGGGAGGGCTCTCCCTGTGCAGTAGGTGGAACCTCAACATGGGTGGAGGAGGGTTCTTGACTGTGATCAAGAAAGCTTGAACAGGTCGGATGCATGTAGGGAAAGAAGGAATTCATTAAAGAGAGAGTAGCAGCGAATGGCAGTTGCTTTGCAGTCAGCAAAGAGTAAAGAAGAACAGGAAAGGGAAGCTCATTGAACTCCTGCTCAGTGTAGGGCACATCCCTTGCCAACTCCTAAAGCCAGGTTCACCTGATGTCCAGTGTTCTCTTGAATCTGCACAGCATGGAAATTAAGCATTTACCACCCCTGGACTTGGGGGAGCTGTGGAGCACTGGATAGAGTTAGTTTATGTTCTGAGAACTTCCCAAAGGCAAAGAAAGGAGATTTTCAGGAAGGCTACTGAAGAGCAGGATCGTACAGCTTCAGTCTCTGCTGGGTCACCCAGGTGATGACAGGAACTTGCAAGCTCAAATCAGAGATCTCACTAGCTCTTCCCTACTTGTCCAAAGTAGAACAGAGAGAGAAGACTTGTGCTTAAGTCTAGACAACTGAATGAAGTAGCACAGTAAAAAAGATGCTCAACACTGGGAGAGTGCAGAGACAAAAATGCAGTAAGCTGAGCAATGAGAAGTTTTTATTTAAGGCAAAAAGTATACATTTCAAGAAAGGGGAGTGTGGGAAACCGCACAGAGGAGGCATGTTCCAAGGCTTAGGATTCTGTTTTTTACAGCTTTCAAGAATGAGGTAAAGGGTGGAGGCTTGGGGGCTGCATAGGCCTGACATGTGGCCTCATGCTCTCTGGAGGGAAAATGGAAGTTCCTATGGCCAGGATCCTCACATAACCCTAATCTACTTGATGATGTAATTGGTCTATTGCATAGGCTAATGCTTACACAACTGTTGGCAATGAGCCATTATAATCCATGTTACTATGTGAAGAGCTCTGCCCAGTGCTCTGTGCGGAGGCAGAGAGAGAGACTGACTGTGAACTTGCAAGAAATGACATGATTCTAGCACTCAACCTGCCACCTTGATAATAAAGCTTGGTATAAAACCTTTTACTCCCAACCTTCTGTTGTTATTCAGTCTCACTGAATCCAGAGTGAATTTGCCCTGGGGCAGTCCCTCTCAGGTAAGATAATGTCTCTGGGTCAGTCCTCTAAATTCTGTAAGATAACTTTACACAAGGAATTTATTGATTCTGTTCTTCTCCAAGATACGGTGACTCTCAAGCACTGGGAACATATCAGTTAGGCCTGCTCGCCCTGCCTTAAGATAAGTTGTTGGCTGATTGTCCTGACAACAAGACAGGGGTTTCACCCCTGGGCAAGTTCACTATAGATTCAATGTGACCAAAGAAATGACAGTAGAACATTCTTGGGGTGAAAGGGTTATACCCAACTTTATTTCCATGGTGGCAGATCACTAGAATCCCATCCACTCAGAGAGAGTCTGCCTGCAGCAAGTCTATCTCTGCCTCTGGGCCTCTCTGCCAGCACAGCCATCCTCTGGGCCTCTGTCCTCAGCACTGCTACTACTCCAGCCTCTGCTCCGCTCTCTTGCAGCCTTGCAGCCATGCTACCTTGTTGCCCAGAGCATTGGGCAAGGCTCTTTATATAGAGTCAGTAACAATGCATTGCCCACACATTTGTACTAAGCTAGCCAACGAACGTCAGGCGAGAATCCTGGCCACAGGAACCTTCATTTTATCCACACTGATTACCAAAGAATTTGTTAGGAATCTTATCTCCTAACTCCCTGTTTTTTTTAAATGGTGTCTTTCCAATGGGTTTCAGCCCCCAACAAGTTCAGTATAGATTCAATGAGACTAAGAAAATGACAATGGAACATACTTGTGGTGAAAGGGTTTATACCTAGCTATATTCCCATGGTGACAGGTCAATTGCTAGAATCCCTTCCACCTAACAAGGCTACATGTAGAAAGCTAGTCTCTGCCTTTGGGCCTCTCTGCCCCCCGCAACCATATTGGTCTCTGTCCTTGGCACTGCCACCACTCCAGTCTCTGCTCTCCTGCAGTCTTGTAGCCCTGAAGCTGTGCAGCAACCTAGAGCACTGGGTGGAGCTCTTATATAGAGTCAATAACAACATATTGCCCACATGTGCATAGTGAGCAAGCTGACCAGGGCCTGGTGAGAATCCTGGCCATGGAACCTTCACTTTCTCCACAATTGGAATCTTTTAAGATTACAGTGTTAAGATGGAGTCCATTCTGTTCTGAACATACTGTTTATATCTTAGTATTTTTCATCATAGGCAGAATAAGTTAATCATGATGATTTTCCCATATCCCTGCCCTATCTCAGTACATGTGGTAACGTTTAAGTGTTTCATGGTTTTAGACCATAAATAAAACACTTTTCCTGTTTTGTTTTGTTTCTCCTGTCAGCATTGAGTACCTCTCCTAGCATAAATTTTCTGTACTACCATACTATTCAAATCTTTCTTCCAGAAATCAGAAGATGAAGGAAGGAGGTATGACTTCAGTGTTCTGTTAATGGTGCTGCTCATCTGCTGATTTGCCCTTTTAATAGTCTCTCCATTCGGCAGTCAGAGTAAGCCTTCAGAAAGGTAGGTCAAATCATATCGCTCCCCTACTTAACACTTCCATTGCTTCCCATTGCCACAGAGTAACTTATCAGCTTCTTAACATAGACGACCTGCCTGCTTCCTTTCACACTTCATCTCTTGTCATGCCATGCCCTTCTTCTTCCTCTGAGCCCCAGCTAAACTGGATTCATTCAAGTTCTATGTCATTCAAGCCTCATTATCTCTAGTCCATTGTCCATGCTATTCCCTGTGTTCCAACACAGAAGTTGGAACCATTACAGTCTCATTCTTTGGTTTAAGTGTCCTTTCTTTCTTTCTCATCCATGCTTCTCCTTTCTACAAGCAGGTAGATAAAAATGTGAATGAGTCTCTTATGCATGTTTATTTATACACTGTTTTTTGTTTCATTTTGTTTGTATATTGCATCCTCCCAATAGCAGCAAGACTAAAATTGAGTTCCCCATCTCCTGTGAATAAGAAAAAAGCCTCTTGCCTAGGGAGCACTATTCTTTCCTGTGCCTCTGCTAGCTGATAAATATACAGGTGGAGAATGGTGGGATGTGATTTCTAGATGGGTATCCTAGCTGTGGGAGTAGAGACAAGGACCCCTCCTGTGCAGGTGCATATGAGGACAGTGCAGCAAGCTCCAAACTGGTATTTAATTTTCTGTGTTGGTGTTACAGAGACATGAATGAGGGATTGTTTTAGCATAAGGAATTAAATACCTGTCAAGATACTCTGCAGCATTAGCATGGAAAAAAAATCACTCCTAGCATTTTTCTGGGCTTAGATTCAATAAGTAGACTGGCATTATTATTTAGTAGGAGAATTGCTATCAACAGAATTGATACATCTCTGGTTCCTAAATTAAAATTTTTTTCACTGTTAGCAAGAAGGATGTTATTATCTGTTAGATTTGATGGTGAAAGCAAAGCAGAAGGAAGAAGAGAATGCAAAATTGTGAGCTCAAGCAGTAACAATATTTAGGAAAGGAAACAATCCCAGGAGAGAGAACTGTGCAAGCTTGATAAGTTTTCCTATTTCTCTGCTTCACAAAAGTGTTCCTATATTCCTAAACAATTTCATTTTCTCTCTACAACGTTCTCTATGGCATGCCTTAAAAATACCAGTAACCCTTAAGGAAGTAGAGTTGGCATATGTCTTGCCAATGGGTTTCAGCCCAAGGCAAGTTCACTATGAATTCAATGAGACCAAAGAATGACAATATAACGTTCTTGGGGTGAAAGGGTTTATTACCTGGCTTGTTTTCCCGGTGATAGGCTGAGCACTAGAACTACGTCTGCATCCAACAGTCTGCAGGTCTGTAATCCTCCTTTGTCTCTACCTCCACCCAGAGCACTAGGCAGAGCTCCTTATATAGTGACTCAGCTTATTGTCTATGGGTGTGGAAGCTGTAGCCTAGCCCCAGACCAGTTACATCATCATGTTGTTTAAATTGAGGTGAGGATTCTGATCTAGCAACCTTCACTTTATCCACACTCAACCCCTCCAGGATTCTTGCCTCATAATCCACGTGCTCTCAATCTTCAGCAATGGTCCTGTGAGAGAAAGATGGAGCATTTTAACCAGATTCCACAAAGGCAGCAGAGGATAACAGCAGCATAGAAATAATAACAAAAATTAAGTACAACAAAATTTTGATAGAGGTAACAATTATAATAATCCTCAAGCCTTAGGAGGTTATTTCAGCTATATTCAAAACCAATTCTACTTTTATGACTCACACTTAGTACTGGTATGGATAGGGAGGTCCATGCACCCCAGTGAGTAACAGATTTTTTTTTTGCTAGTGGGTGTGTCCAGTCTATAAAGACCTTAAGGGTCTTTGTAGACACATATTTTTTTATAACATAGGCAAATCTTGTCCATCAGGTAGGATGCATGCAAGAAAGTGGTCCTGTGTTAGGGCTGTAGCAGGAAGAGGGTCCCGTCCAGGTCTAGTATACTATACCTTTACTCCCTGTTCCCCCCATGGGGGTTACTGAGGGGTCTATGTATAGTGCTACTGGAGGTACATGCATTGGCCATAATGACAAAACAGAACTCCCCAGTAAGATGCTCCTACCTTCTGTCCATTCTGGATATACTACTATGATGTTGGGGGGTCACTCTGCTGTTACTCCAGGAATATACAGGAGGCCAGCTTCCAGGCCTTGTCCCCAAGGTGCCAGGAGAGCCAGCCATCGTTGGTCCATGTGTTGATAGTCTAAGAAAATGTCCACTCAATGGAGTCTCCAGGGTTTAGTACAGTTGCTGTTGACAGCAAGGTGGCCAAACCTTGACTTCAATGATTCCTCCTTGGTTTTTACTTGCAGTTGTATAGGGAAGGCAGTAATATGCCTTAGCATATCTACAGGGCTCAGGGCTCCCTTTTGGGGTTTCTTGTACAAATGTGATAGCACTGTCCATAAGTGGACTGACCATCCCTGCAGACTATTGGTGTCTGACTTCAGTCCAGATTTTAACAAACCATTGTAACTCTCTATCATGCCTGCTGTGGTAGGATTGTATGACACATGAAACTTCTATTTGATTCCAAACTGTTGCACCCGTTCTTATAGTGCATGTCCAGTAAAGTGGGTGCCTTGATCACTCTCAATTACAGGGGTTCAGCCATAGGTGGCAAAGAGAGGTTCCAGAGCTCTTTTGGTCATCTGTTGGCCTAAACAAAGTATAGGAAAAGCAACCAGAAGTCCAGTAGTGGTGGCCGCACAAGTCATGGCATATTAGTACCCTTCTGACATGGGCAAAGGCCCAGTATAGTCTGTGTGCCCCCTGACAAGGGGTACTGGCACCTTAGCAATTGTCTGATATTGCTGTGGAACTCAGTGTAAGTTCCTTTTAGAGCATACAATCCACTCCCGCCAGGCTCTGATGACTTCTTCAAACATCAAAGGCAAGCCCACCATTGGGCTACAACCCATATTGTCTTTTGAAGGATAGCGTTACAACTAGAGTTAGGATCTGGCTGTGATATGAGGCCTAGGGCGAGACTGAGCTTCAGGGTTATGGTGAGGCATGGGTAGCATTGATGCTGATGTTGAGGGGTCTGGTCCAGGGACCAGGGATAGGGTTAAGGTCAGGTGTTTGAAAAGTGTAAGGTGAGGGCAGGGTTACGGTTAGAGATTTGTTCTGGCTCTGATGTGAGGGCGAGGGCATGATTGTGCTTCAGGGTTAAGGTGAAACGTGAGTGATGTCCATGGTACATTGACGGGTCAGGTCCAGGAGCCAGTGCTAGGGTTAGGGTTAGGTGTATGGTAAGGAGTAAGGGGAGGATAAGGTTACGGTTAGATTTAGGGTCCCACACTGATGTGAAGGAGAGGGTGAGATTGTGTGCTTCATGGTAAACATGGCCCCTGGACCTGACCCCTGAACGTACCATGAACAGCAACTATGTATCATGAAGTGCAATCATGCCCTCGCCCTCACATCAGAGCTGGGATCTAACTCTAACCATAACCCTGCCCTCGCTGGACACCTTTCTGAACACCTAACCCTAACCCTAGCACTGGCCCCTGGCCTGACCGCTCATCATCAGCATCTATGTGAACCATGGCAACCATGAACCTGAACGTCAATCTCATGCCCTTACATCAGGGATGGACCCTTACTCCAACTTAACCCTATCCTCCCCTTACACCTTTCCAAATACCTAACCCTAACCCTAGCCCTGTCCCCTGGACCTGACCCCTCAACATCAGCATCAATTCTACCCATGCCTCACCATAATCCTGAAGCCCAATCTGACCCTCGGGCTCATATCACAGCCAGATCCTAACTCTAATTGTAATACTATCCTCCCCGTACACCTTACAGAACACCTAATCCAAACCCTAGCCCTGTACGCAGGACTGACTCCTCACTGTCATCATCAACATCTCCCACGACTGACCGTAAACCTGAACCTCCAACTCGCTTTTGCCCTCACATCAGACCTGGACCCTAACTCCAACTGTAACCCTATCCTCCCCGTACACCATTCCAAACACCTAAGCTGAACCCTGGCAGTGGCCCCTGGATGTTGCACATCTGTGTCACCATAGACATGACCCACGCATCACCATAACCTGAGGCACAATCTGGCCCTCACCGTCTAATGACAGCGGGACTCTAAATCTAATTGTAACCTTTTCCTCTAAATACAGCTTATGGAACACCAAACCCTAACCCTTGCACTGGCAGCTGGACCTGACACCTCACCATACCATGGACATCAACCATGCAACACCTTAACACTGAAGTGCAATCTCGCCCTTGCTCTCACATCAGAACCGGATCCTAATTACAAATATAACCCTAACCTCCCAGTATACGTTTTGAAACACTTAAACCTAACTTAGCCCTGGCCCCTGGCCCTGAACCCCTTACCATCACCATGGACATCACCCTTGCATCCCCTGAACCCTGAAGCACAATCTCACCCTCACCCTCATATCAGAGCCAGAATGCAACTCTAACCGGACCCCGATCCACCCCATACACCTTACTGAAAACCTAACCCTAACCCTAGCTCTGTCCCCAGGACTGACTCCCACCGTCCAAATCGACAACCCCCATGTGTCCAAATAAACCCGAACCACAAGCTCACCCCTCACCCTCACATCAGAGCTGGGCCCTAACTCCAACTGTAATCTTGTCCTCCCTGTACACCATTCCGAACATGTAACCCTATCCGTAGCACTGGCCCCTGGACCTGAACCCTCACGGTAACATGGACATCACCCACACATCACCTTAACCCTCAAGCATAATCTCGCCCTTGCCCTCACATCAGAACTGGATCTAACCGGAATGCTATCCTCCCCTGAACACCTAACCCATACCCTAGCCCTGGCCCCTGGACCTGACTCCTCATCATCACCATGGACATCACTCACGCATCAGTGTAACCCTGAAGAACAATCTCGTCCTCGCTGTCACATCAGAGCTGGACCTTAACTCTAACCATAACCCGATGTTCCCCATATACCTTACTGAAAACCTAACCATAACCCTAACCC